AAAGAAGAGAGCACACAAGGCCAATGACAACTTCTCAGAATAAGGCCTTACTCTTGGGACCTGGGGGACATGTGACCAAAAAAGCTCATTGAAACCCCAAAGCATTTTTCAGAGAAATGCCAAATGTCCTTATATGTATGCATATCACAGCCTCTGCTCCTGGATCTTTGGAAATAAGGAATTGATAGGGAAATTTAGGTTGTTAGGTATACAGTTTATAACTGTTTTTTTCAACAATTGACAAACCTCTGAGTCTGGTCTGGAAAGTGAAGCTGTACATTCTTTTGTTAAGTGTCAAGGTAATGTACATAGGGGTTACAGGAACATAAATAAAGTAATGAGTACATTTCTTGTCAAACTTGTTACCCCTTCCCTCATTTTTCTCCTATTCCCCCCAACATGACCCCCCACCAAGTTGTATAGATCATTTCCAACATATTGTCTTGGTGGGGTTTTTTTTGTTTTGTTTTTTGTTATTTAGGTCATGGGGCTTGAACTCTAGGCCTGGGCTCTGTCCCTCAGCTCTTAAGCTCCACTTCCAGTCTTCTTGTGGTTTATTAGAGATAAGAGTCTCATGAACTTTCCTGCCTGGGCTGGCTTTGAACCGCAATCCTCAGATCTCAGCCTCCTGAGTAGTTAGGGTTACAGGCATGAGCTACTTGTACCCGGCTAACATATGGTCTTGTGACTATCACTGTTGCATTGTTTCCCCACCTTGTCTTTTGTCTCATCATTCTGTTGCTCCCCTTCCCTTCCTTAATTCAGATAAACACACACACACACACACACACATTACCAGGGTACCAAAGTCAAATACAGTTAAATACAAAAGAAGATTATACCATAGGGTGAAGAACACACAAAAGAAACAAGAAATCATATAGCACATTAAAAACAAAAACAGCAAAGAAAAATGTCTTGTTTCCATGTCTTGGAGTTCATTTCCCTTAGCATCATCTTATATAGTCATATGTATGTAGCTATTGAGCTATTCTGCTCATCTGCTAAGATTATCGGAGACATATTAATTATTGAAATAAGGGAAACCATGGGACATATGTTTCTTTGGGTCTGGCTTACTTTACTTAATATGAGTCTTTCCAAGTCTTTGCATTTCCTTACAAATGGGGTGGTGTCATTCTTTCTGATGGAAGCACAGAATTCCATTATATAGATATAGATATAGATAGATATAGATCTATCACATTCTCTTGATCCATTCCTCTACTGAAGGGAACCAAACAATAGGATGCCATGCATTCTTAATTCCCAGAAGAAATTCAGAGGCCTGCTCTGCCCAGTGTCCCCATGCCAGCCACCTACTCCTCTGCCAGACTGAGACAAGCAGAGACAGAAACTGGAACACCATGGGCCCACGCACCAGGGTCACTGGGTGCCTCTCCACTCACCTCTCCTAAGAAGGCCCATTTTGATGGTGATGAATGGCAGATGAATCAGAACAGCCCCCAAACCCAATAAGGACCACTGAGTAAGGAAGTGGAGAGAGTACTAGACGACAAGAGTACAAAAAAGACAAGCTGTCCCTCTTCACAAAGGTGTCAGGGACCAGCCATGAGGAAAGCAGATGGGAGTCTGAATGGGAGGGAAGACCAGCAGCAGAAGAGGACCAGGGCTTTCAGGAGCATCCTTGTCTGGGTCCCCCAGCCAGAGAGGAGGTTGGAAGAGAACCAGGCTCAGGGTTCTCTGGGGAACAAGGGAGCAAGCCTGGGACTTCTCCCCAAGGTCAGGCAAAGAACCATTCAGGCTAGAGCCTGTTCATTTCAAGGTCACAATAAGGCTGTCACTACAATGCCTCATCGCAGCAAGAAAATGCATGGGAAGTCTTTATTGGCATAAGTTAATTGTACAAAAGGGTTTCACTGTGATATTTATATACACGCATATAATGCACTTGGATCAAATTCCCACCTTTATATTATTCTTTCTTTAACTTCCCTCTACTTCTCTCGTCTTTCTAAGTGTTTTTAGTGGACTTGATTAAACCTACTTTGGTGTCTTATTTTCTGTGATACCTCAAAACACCGCTCATTTCTTTTTTCATCCAAATCCCTCCACTTTGAACTGGCTGGCTGGGGTTTGAGACCTTTTACCCACACTGGGTTCCCCAGAACTTCTTGGTAACTAGTCCAGGCAGTTTAGAACCTAAACAGTCTCATAAGGAAGTTCAAACTAATGGGTTTGAGCCAAAGCTCCATGGTTGGCCTGAGGCAGATGCACGATGACTGACTTCCCCAGAAGATGGTACATGGCTAATCCTGGCCTCAGCTACCTCGTCATTAGTCGGATGCCTGTGGGCCCGGGATCCTCGGTCAGGCAATCCAGGTAGGGGGACAAAGTGACTCCTGCCATCCACACTGTCATGGGCAGAGGCATTCAAGCACAGCAGGGCTTTGAGGAAGAAAAGTCATGGGGGTGGATGGGCAGAAGGGCTGGAAGGACACAAAGGATGGAGCTCTTTAAGGAGGCTGAGAGGCCAGGAGGACACCGGCCATTCCTGAACACTGCTGTGCCAGAAGCAATATCTCTTCCTCTCAGTTCAAATCTTTCCCTGCTCTGACCTATCCCGCCAGTCCATGAACCAGCCGCTCTGTGTCCTCTCATAGCCAGATCAGAGAGCAGCACTGCACCAAACACATCACCCAGTGCTTTGTTTATTTTTTAAGTTTTGGCAGAACTAGAGGGTTGAGCTCAGGGCATTACGCATGCTAAGGGGGTGCTCTATCACTTGAGCTGTACTCCGGCTCCCTAACTGGTATTTTGGGTAAGTGTACTTTAATTCCATTCATATACTTAGCATAGGAGCTTTATGCCTGCCAGCTTCCTCTGACTTTTCTTTTCATTGAAGAATAAAACAAATAACTGTAGTAAATACTACAAAGAAAATCTGTTGGGGATGGGGCCGCAACTTTTAAGAACGGTAAGTCATAGGAATATACAAAAAAAAGAACTCCTATGCCCTAATAGTTTGCATTTTGCTCCATTTCATTATTTTGATTTATCATTCTCTAATGCTCTTACGTCTGTGAACCTTCAGAACTCAAGGCTTTGCACTTTCTAAGCAGATGCTCTACCACTTGAGACATACCTCCAGCCCTGTATGCTCTGGTGTTTGTTTTAAGATAGGGTATCCAATTTTGGCACAGGCTGGCCTGGATGATAATCTCTCATCTATGCTTCTTGCGTAGCTGGGTTTGTACCTTCATCCCCTATTTTTTGTTGTTGTTGTTAAGATGGGCATCTTCTGAACTTTCTCCCCAAGCTGGCTTTGAACTCCATTCTCCCAATCTCTACCTCCTGAATAGCTAGGATTACAGGTGTGAGCCACAGTACCCTGTTGTTCATATTCTCTTCTGAATCATTTGAGAACAAGTTATAACACTTCACGTCTCTTTATTCCTAAATAGACAGGTGTCCAGTTCCTAAAGACAGGCTCATTCTCTTCCACAATTGCGAGCAAATTATCGACTTCAGGAAAAGTTAATGTTGATATAATACCTCTGGTCTAATCTCCCATCTGCATCCATGGTGGTCATTTGGCCCATGGATAGCTTTTATAGCCAGAGTGAGTGTGTATTAATGGCTCAATGTGTATTAAGAATTAATATATGTAATTAAGAATTAATACAAGTAGAGTGCTTTGGCATTTGGAAGTCCTTGTGCTACATCGACCCTTGGCTCCTGTCTTGCCTCTCTGAGCTCAGGCAACATGCTGTCCTTGCTCTGCCCAGGATAGAGAAGAAGCTGAGGAGCTGCTGAATCTAAAGCCAAGCTCATCCCCCCCTACTTCCTATCACTGCTCAGTGCTTCTTTTAAAATTGTACTTATTTCATGCTAAAAAACCAACTAATGATTCAAACATTGAAAATTCCCAGAATAACAAAGTCCAGGTGTTTAACTCTTTCTCCACTAACTTCCATGTCAGCATTAGAGATTCTGATGACTACTCACAAGTACATCCACAGGAAGTGCCACCAGCTACCCCAGGTTGGGCATGAGTTGGGAGACCTGCAGGGTGGTGCATATGGACCTGGCCTCCTTAGCACCTGCCCAGGCTGCTTTCCTGAGCCCACCCCGCCTCACACACAGAATCTGGAACTACAACCAGCAAAGGATCCCCAAGTTGAGGCCTGACTTCAATACAAAATGTAGAGAGACCCACTGGGTGTGTCTTTCACGGCACAGTGGAGCTTCAGGTTAGGGGCTCCAAAGAAGCCTAAAAAAATGGGCACCAACTCAAAAGCTTGCCTAGTAAGCAGAAAAGCACTAGTTTAGAAATGAAACTATGGGATTCAAACTATCACCCTTTCAACTTGCTGGGTCATTTGCCTTGGACAAGTTACCACAGGTGCCAAGGCTTCATTCCACCAGCATACTCACAGATAATTACAGATATCAGACAGAAGGGAAGGAAGGGGAAACTCAGAGCCTGGAACTCCAGGGAGGCCTCTAGTTCATGATACTTTGTTTTTTTCCTTATGCCAAAACTGGGGCTTGAAACTCAGGACCTTGAGCTCCCTCTTACTTTTTTTCACTCAAGGCTAGCACTTTACCACTTGAGTCACACCCTCACTTCTGCCTTTTCAGTGGCTAATTGGAGATAAGAACTTCACAAACTTATCTTCCTAGGCTGGCTTTGAACCTCAATCCTCAGAGCTCAGCCTTCTGAGTAGCTAGGATTACAGGTGTGGGGCACCAGTGCCCAACTCATGATATTCTGAAGTAGATTTGTTTAGAGTGTGGCCCATGTTGCTGCAGGTTAAGCCACTGCCACAGACCTAGAAAAGCCAAGCAATATAGTTTGTGGGCATGGAATCACAGTGATAGAGGGAATTCTGACTAAAATTCTGTGTAGTTCACTTTCTAGATGCCCTAATGGATCACTTTTAGTAAGTGTTGTCTCTGGCAGTGGGGAGCAGGAGTTTGCCTTGTGTAGCACCTTGCTCTGTTGTGAATGCAGGGCAGGAAAGCGCCATATTTACCTTTTCCAGGGCCTCTTTGTCAAGTAGTTCTTGCACAGCTAGAAGCTTGATGCTGAAAGAGAAAATTAAAACCACACTTGAAACAAATCATCTCATGTCACTGAGCTTTATCACATAAGTCACAAGAACAACAGTGTGAAATTTCAGCCTTCCTTTCTGTCACCTCTCACCTGAAGGTAGTCATTTGCCATTCAAAACATATTATAAATGTATCTAAATGCTAAAATTCCACTAGATAACTAAGCTATTCCACTTTCAGGTTATTCTCCCAACACTGGAAATCAAGCACTTAAGATATTTGTACACCAATGACCATAATAAGGTTATTTATAATAATCAAATGGTAGAAACAACCCAAATGCCCATTACCAGATGACTGGATGAACAAAATGTGGTAGGTATATATCCATGTATCTATAGATATGATGGCATGTATTATTCAATCTTAAAATAATTTGAGAGCCAAGCACTGGTGGCGCATGCCTGTAAATCCTAGTTACTTGAGAGTCTAAGACTAAAAGAACTATGATTTCTAGGTCAACCTTGGAAGAAAAGTTCATGAGATGCCTTTCCAATCAATAGCTGGGCACAATGGTATATGTCTGTCATCCGAGCTATGGGGGAAAGCCTAAAAATAGGCAATGGAAACCCAGGTATGCATCTAAACAAGAAATGAGAACTTAACTAAAAAACAACCAGTGAAAAATGGGGCTGGCACTATGGCTCAGTGGTTTGAGTGCCTGCCTAGCAAGTTCAAGGCACTGAGTTCAAACCCTAGTACTACCACCTCCAGCACACAAACATAAACAAATAAAGGAAATTCTGATAGAGGTACACTTTGAAGTCACGTAATAACTGAAATATGCCAGAGATCAAAAAATAAACACCGAGTAATTCCATTTATAGGATATCACAGAGTGGTCAAGTTGATAGAGAGCAGGAGGAACCAAGGGGAACTAAGGAGTTAAATGTTGAATGGAGAGGCAATCTCAGTTGGGATGAAGAAGTTGAGGAGGTGGGGAGTTGTGATGTCCAGAAGGATCTAGTTCATGTTATATACATTTCATCACAAAATATCCCAGAAATTCTGGCAAGGAATTTGAAAAAACTCAAAAGACTATCAAGAAGAAAACAGTTACCAATGTTCAGTATGAGTCTTTAGTAGATGTTTATCAGATGATGATGAGCCAAGTAGCTAAAATCACAGCACACATAGTAGACCTGCTAAGCTACTCATTTGCTTTTCCACACTGATGGAGCCTTACTCTGTATGGTGACTGAGTGTGTATGACTTTATGACTGGCGTCCTGCCTTTGAGAGGCCATAGTTAGATCAGAATATGATGCAGAAAGGGGTGTAGCCCCAAAGAATTCAGAGGAAGCTTACTGGAGTTTGCCAGAGGTCAGAGCTAGGGGGAAGGCCATATCAGAGGCATCCACAAAGACACCAAGGGGAGGGGCCGATGCTCCAGTTCCCAGGTTAGGGCCTGAGACTGGACACAAGCCAAACTTGAGATGAGAGAACCCAGCTACAGATACAGGATTACAAGGAGGGTGTTTTCTGTTATTGTTTCAATTATTATACTTTTTTGTTAGTCATTTGGGCTGGAACTCAGAGCCTGGGAGCTGTCCCAGAGCTTTCCTACTCAAGGCTATTGCTCTACCCACTTTGAATCACAGCTCCACTTCTGGTTTCAGGTAGTTAATTGGAAATAAGAGTCTCAGAAACTTTCCTGATCCAGGTTGACTATGAAATATGATGCTCAGATCTCAGCCTCCTGAGTAGCCAGGATGACAGGCATGAACAAGTGAAGCCCAGCTTGTTTTCTGTTCTAGACATGCTGCTTCTGAAGTGTTTGAGGACCCAGGAGTGAGTAGCTGAGGCTGCACAAGGCCTGTGCTACACTCAGCATGAGAATACAAAGATGGCTTAGGGAGTCTATCTGCTGCGGACTGGCTAATGTGCCTAGGATCACTGGTCCCTGTGAATCCCACACCAACCCACAGAGCAGGGGTGGACCTGCCAGCCAACCCAGTGCAACAGCTTATTTAAAAGCATCTCCAGGTGGTACAACCAATGTTTTCAAGGTTTAAAGAAGTCACCAACAGCAAAGTTGGTGAGTTGAGAGTTGACGGGCAGCTCCCCGGGCCTTCTCTCCTCTCCAGTGATACCAGCCTTTCTCCTGTCCACCCCCAGTGGAGTTTCTGCAGTTCTTCTAACTCAGCAGGGGCTTCCCCAAGAAGGCTACCACACAACTCCATCTCATTGTCACATTCTGGTGGAGTCATGAATGCCAGTCCTCAAAGTAGCCTCCCTGGCCACCCAAGGGAAAGATAATCTGTTTACGATATTTGTTTTCCTAACTACATTTCTTGCTAATATTAGATAACTGGTTGCTGGCTGGCTTGAATCAGTCTCTTCCCAAATATGGAAGTCCCTGAGGCCGAAGGCTTGGGGGTTCTTGCTCAGAAGCATACCTGTGGTGTCTATGTAAATATTCCTCATAGCCTGGGCCTGGAAGCTTATGGGCCAAGACCCTTCCAGAGCTCACACATTCCAGTATGGATAGGAAAATCCATACAACATGCCTCAGTTTGTCCACCACAAAACAACACCTCTAATGGAATGAATGGATGGATTTGCCTTGGGTGAAGGCTGCTATGTGCAGTTGTGCAACTGATCGCCATTTCTGAAGTACACTCAAGAGCAGTTCAAAGTCATTGGCCCTTCCTCAGTACATACTGGCTCCCAAGATGCAAATCCAAGATTCCAGGTTGGCAATTTGGGCATCAACTTATGTGCACTAAGTTAAGGGTATCCGGTTGTAGCTTGAGTTTCAAAAGCTTAAGTTGCCTCTGAAATAACCACCAGAAAATATTTACTCTGGAGAGGCTTTTAAAATAGTCTCTTGTTCCTGCCCTGTCTGTGATCAGGAGGTCTGGTCTAGTGTCAAATATCAAACATCTACAGATGGGAGAAAATGAACACTGTTAATGCATTCCACTTTCTTCTCCTTATGCACAAAGATACTACATTCAACCAGCTGAATCCACGATCTAGAAGCCAATAGTGTCAGGCTCTGAATGGAAAGGAAATTAAAACATCTTCATCAACTCTTATTGTGCTCAAGAACAGGGAAGGGAAATACTTGGCCTGTCCATGGCACCTCTCCAAACCCTCCACCTTCTTCCATACAACTTTCCCCACTACACTGAACTTAAATTCAACTTCCCAGTCATCCCCAACACTCAGTGAAACACAGCCCATCTACTGAACTTGGAATGTGAGCTAAAACCCATGGAACATTGGCTCTCAAACCAGTGTCGGTATAAACAGCGCTGGAAAGAGACAGGAAAAATAGACAAACTGTTAAAACCCAGACCCCAAATAGGACAGCCTTAGGGACAGAGAGAAGAAGATGACAAGACACCCAGATTATTATTATTTGAGTTTCCAAGCAGGAGCTAGGTGTGTTTCTAAGAAATGGTGCTCTAGCTACTTAATTCCTTGAACCTTTGGAGCAAGTGAGCTCTTCTGGAGAGAAGCAAGCTCTGATGCTCTGTTATGTTAACTGTCCAAGCATTGTTCTAACAGTACTAGACACTCTGTATGCGTGGGGGACTTATTTCAGTACTTACCATATCAGGTTCGCTTAACACACCAGCTATTCCCTGGGAAGAAATTGCACACATATGTAGGAACAATATGTCTATTACCACATCTTCTAAAGACATCTAACTTCTTGCCTGGAATAGAGTCTGGTATCTTCTTTCCTTTTTCTTCCCTCCCCTCTCCTCCTTGGTTATTTGTGTGTGTGCCCATACTGGGGCTTGAACTCAGAGCCTGAGCATTATCCCTCAGCTCTTTTGCTTAAGGCTAGTACTCTACCACTTGAGCCACAACTCTACTTCTGGTTTTTGGTGGTTAATTGGAGATAAGAGACTCATGGACTTTCTTGCCTAGGCTGGCTCTGAACTGCAATCCTTGGATCTCAGCCTCCTAAATGGCTAGGATTATAGGCATGAACCACCAATGCCCAGCTTCCATGGTCATTTCTTGAACCCAAGTGGTAACAATGACTGAAGCCGGATGTGCCCAAACCCAGGGGCTCTCCAACTAGTACCATGCAACTACAGGCCAAGAGAACTGAGGACTTCTGGAAACTTGAGTGTCCTCAGTATTTCCATCCAAGAAGAGACCATGCGTCCAATGTACTGACAAGTGCTGCACGCATCACCTGCACCTATTTTCTCCCTCAGGTGCAGATACTCACCTCCTTCCTCCCAGCAACTCTTCCTACAGCTGTCTTTGGTCATCTCATGGCTTCCACTGGGGGAGGGAGAAGAGACAACCAGAATCGACTGGCTTCCAGGTCTATCATGAGGATGGGAGGATAGGCTCCCATTCTCTATAGCTTCACCTGGTAAGAGGTGAGGATGGCCAATGGCCTACTTGGCACTGTAACTGTCATGATCCTGAGACCTGTTCAGGACTATGTGCCATGGACGTCTAGGCCTGACTTTGCCCCTCTTCAAACATGTTACTTCCTTGTATGGGATTTTCTTGCATCTGTCCACTCCTATGAAGACAGAGTTCACACACACACACACACACACACACACACACACACACACACACACACACACTTTAAAGCATCCCGGCTAGCTATCAGATCAATAACTAGGAATGTGGGTTTTGTTAGAAGATTCCTATCTTTTTATATTTGGGGATACATGGAAATTTGTTATCTCCTTTGTTTTCTATAAATGTCCACCAGTTTTGGTTTTGTCATCTGGTTGTTCTGTCCTTTTGTTTCCAATAGTTTTCCCCACATTTTTTTTTTTAGCATCAATCAAGGTTTCATTTTGACGTGTCTATAATGTGCACAAATGCACCTTGACCAGGCTCACCCACCATTCCTCTCCTTCATACTCCTTCCCAAGCCATTCTAGCAAGTCTCATTGTTCCATTCTCATGTGTGCACATGAAATATTTTGATCATTGCACCCTCCTTCACCCTCTCCACTTGCTGTCTTCCCCACTAGTACTCCC